CTCTCTGGGTTTCTTCAGTCTCTGTCAGGCTAGTAAATCTGGTCTTTTTTGTGAGTTAGAGTTTTGTTCTACATTTTTCCAGCTCTGTCTGGGACCCTCTACTGTGATCCCTGTCAGAGCAGTCGGCGGTGGTAGCTGGGCACCATCTAGCTGTACTGGACTCAGTCTGATGGAGGCTGTGGTAGTTGTGGTCTATTAGTCCTTTGAACTAATCATTCCCTTGTATCTTTAGTTTTCTTCATTCTCCCTTGCTCCCGAGGGGGTAAGACCAGTGGAGTGTCTCAGATGGCCACTCACAGGCTTTTAAGACCCCAAATGCTACTCACCAAAGTAGAATGTACAACATTTTCTTTTTAAACTGTATTAGATGCATGTAATTGTAAAAGCTCCTCTGTGAATTGTGATGTACCTCAACACACACATACACACATATCCTCCCCTTTCTGAAAATCACTGGCCCAAGAGGTGTCTGGAAAAGATACACAGAGGATGTAACATTTGATACGGGCTTTATGGGATGAGTAAATGTTCACCAGAGAGAAACAGGAAAAGCAAACGAGAGAAACAGGAAAGCATGAGCCAGGTGCAATAAATAGTGGGCAAAGCCTGTGTGGTTTGAAACTTTAGGGAGTGAGGGGAAAGAATGAGAGACATTTCAGAAAAAAGAATGGCAGGACTGGGTAGGAACTGGATAGGAATGGTAATCAAGGCAGAAGAATCAAGAATGACAAGATACAACTTTCAGTTTCTAGCCTGAATGGAGAATGATGCTACCAGTTAACTAAGACTAAAAACCCAGGAAGAAAAACCGGTTTGTGAGGAAAGCTATTTAGTTGTACTTTGGACATAGCTTGAAGCACTGAGGGACACCCAGATAGTTTACCTGAGATAGTTAGATACCTAAGTCTGGAGTACAGGGTAGCAACAGAAGGACTAATGAGAAAAGTGAGCCTGCAGTGGAGGCAAAGTGTTTCCATAATAAATAGTATCAAACAATTAGTCTCAAGTCACCAGAATGTCCTTCTTTTCAAGTATGCGATGTAGAGGAAAAATTACTTTTCAAAATATTATTTACTAGGAAGTGTCAGAAGATGTGTCTGTTCACGTGCTAGTTTCTGTCATGCCTTCCAAGGGACTCCTGGCTGTCTCCCAGGCTTCAATCTCCCAGACAAAGCATGGCAGCTCTCCGTTCTTCCCTACCTTCAAGCCCCATCCAGCTTTTTGTCCTCCATCCCTTGGGATCTTCTCCAGTCCCTCTAATCTGTGTGCAACCCCTGAAGTCAGTGAAGCAGACTAGAGGGAGGAAACAAGTACATCTTGAATGTGAGGCGTTACCCCAGGGTTCAGGACTCTGCCTGCTATTCTTTCCCATCCATGTACGATAGAAGAGCTAAGATATTTCCATAACTTCCATGACCACCTAAAAACTCACAGAATGAACTTGTCATATTTAACTCCCTTCTAGAAGCCTTTCATTGCTTGTTTATTGCTTGCAGTACAAAGTCCAGATGCTGTGGCATTGCATGCAAATCCCTGCTGACTGCTTTAGCTGGGCCTCTGCCTGTACCCTTGACAAACACTTGAGCCAAGCAATCCAAGCCTGCCTTCAGTCCTTAATGCTCCATGCCTCTTTGTGCCTGCATGACTTTGTTCACGCTGCTTCCGCAGGCTTGAGGCCTTCCTATACCTCCTGACTAAAAACCACCTATGCATAGCTCAAGGATAAATTCCTCCAGAAAGTTTTCCAGCAGTCTCTAAGATCTCCCTGTGCTGCCCTGTGGAGAATAAATTATTCTTGCCCTTGTGCTACTCTGTACCAACACAGGTTTCTGTAAAAGCATCTTTAGATTTAATAATAAGGGGGAAAAAAAACCCCTAAAATGATAATAACTATAGTAAATTCAAGAGGAACACTTTCATAGATCATAGAGGCCTCAATAATTTGTAAAGACTGAGGTTTTCAGAAACCTGAGGTGATTACATTATTTTACCAAACAAGTTTTATTTTGTAGCTTCTTTATTCTAGGGAGAAATATAATCTTCATAAGTGTTTAGGACTTCTTTTTCCAGTTAGATTTTGATGAATAAACTATACCGTAATTTAGAACTCATTAACATTTTAAAGGGTATTCTTATTCTCCCTGCCTCTGGCCCTGAGAAGAAATAAAGACTCAAGTTAGGGCAGTTTCAAATAAAAAAAGAAGGGTGGGGACTGAATGTTAGAACTCCAATATTATAATTTACGATGTCAAACCACCGGAAGTATATTTGATGATTCAGAATCTGGCACATAGCTGTTGTGTGCCATTGACTCAATTCTGACTCAAGTTACCCTATAGGACAGAGCACAACTGCCCCACAGGGTTTCCTACCTATGGCAATCTTTATGGAAGCCGACTGCTACAGTGGGAGTGAACTGCTGACCTTTCAGTTAGCAGCTGACTGCTTAACCACTGAATCCTTGGAACGTAGTTAGTGCTTGCTAAATATTTGTTGAATGAGTGAGTAATCAAATGAATTGATAAATTAAGAGTGAATGAATAAATGGCATAGCATAATATGAAATAAAATAAAAGAATGGGTCTGTTTCAGATAGTGACCGTGTTTACTTTTGTTTCCTATCTGGCTGGATATTTGTTAGAGTGACAATTCACAGTTACTGATTGTCCAAGTACCAAAATTTTTATTGCTCAGGAATTTGGAACAACTTGCAGTCATTCAGCAATTAGTCATTGAGCTTCAGCATTGCTAGCATAAGTTTCAGTGCTAAGTATTTACAAGTTACAATATAGTAAAGAAATTATGGCTTCTTTATTGAAGTAAACATGTTAGAAGAATTGGGCAGCAATTATATGATTGGTTGTCAATTATACAGTAGAATTCCGTGTTGGTGTCTTGCCCTTCACGAAATTACATTATTGGAGCCAAGACTGCAGCCCAGTTATATTGTTGTTGTTGTTAGGTGCCATTGAGTGGGATCGACTCATAGGGACCCCATGTACAATAGGAGGAAACATTGCCTGGTCCTGTGCCATCCTCATGATCATTGTTATGTTTGTTACTGTTGCAGCCACTGTGTCAATCCATCTTGTTGAGGGTCTTCATCTTTTTCGCTGGCCCTCTACTTTACCAAACATGATGTCCTTCTCTAGGGACTGGTCCCTTCTGACAACATGTCCAAAGTATGTGAGATAAAGTCTCATCGTTGCCACCAAGGAACATTCTGGCTGTACTTCTTTCAAGACAGATTTGTTCATTCTTCTGGCACTCCATGGTATATTAAATATTCTTTGCCACATAAAATTGGTTTTGATATATTAAAGGATCTTTTTCTAGGAAGGCTAGACTTTTGGATTTATCCAAAAGGAATTAGGTTTTCCAGCTGAAGAGAACAATTTGAGTAAAAACATAGAGGAGGGAATTTACAAAGCTGAAAATGTGGGGCTTTGAATGCTAGGATAAAAAAAAAGCAAGATACCGACAATTTTACCATTATTAGAAAGCTGAAAGAAGAGGAATACATCCAGAATTCAGAAACTGCCAGAGGAACATAACCACACAGTCACTGTAATTCATTAGCTATGAATATAAGTAGAATTATGATTGTCTAAATAAGAGATAAATATTACCCTAGTGATGACACTGTTGCTTTCCTCTGTGTCACTGTTTTTCAAAGAGCAAAACAAAAAAAGAAAGAAAATCAAACAACCGTAGAACCGCTAAAACAGCTGAAAATTGTAAGCATAACATATAATTCTACATTCCTTTATCATGGCGGGAAGTAGCAAGTTATACGGGCTTGTTGGTCTAGGTGTGTGATTCTCAGGGTGTGAGAGGTCCTGGGTTCAAATTCCGGACGAGCCCTCTTTTCTTTCTGGATGTAATTAAACGCTCTAAATAAATTATTTTTTTGAATAGGCCAATAAATGTAATAAATACATGTTACAGCAAAACACACAACTTTTTTGGACTTAGATCACACTTGACATTCAAATACCATTAAAAGATGCAATGTGAAAATATAAAACGTTTGTTGACAATGTACTACTATACGAACGCTATCCCCACAATTCCCAGAACTAGCCTGTGTTAGGGATGTAATGAGTTTCCTTTCTTGGCTGCCAGTTATTGTTGTTAGTAGCCGTCCAGTTGCCTATAGATGTGGCATAAACATGCACACGCCAATTCAAGTCATCTACACAGCGGGTCTGGGGGCGCCTTCTGGAGGACAAAAGCACTTCCATTTCCCTTAGAAATGTTCATTCCCGAACCGGCTGATTCAAGACTCTACCTGCTCAAATTTAGAGACGTGAGAGGAGTACCCAGGATTCCGCACAGAACGTCTGTTTGTTAAGCTCGTTGTTTACAAAGCAATTTTAACGCCTTACTCTCGGACGTTCAGTAACCATATATTGTGTGAATTGACTTCACCAGGTCCCAGGAGCTAATATTCTAGTTTACGGGTTCGGAAGAATTCATTTAAGCCTCTAAATGGACTGAATGAAAGCAAAAACCGTGAAATTTAGGAGCGGGGCGGGGAAGAAAAAAAAGTAGGGCTCGTCCGGGATTTGAACCCGGGACCTCTCGCACCCGAAGCGAGAATCATACCCCTAGACCAACGAGCCACTCCCGCTAACGGGGTTCCCGTCAGCTTAGTTCAGTCTTGTCCCGCCCCTCGCCGCGTTTCCTGGCTTACTACTACGTCGTTTCGAATCTAGAGCCTTCCGGGCGGTGCAGAGGAGTCCGGAAGAGGAGTAGGAATACAGGCGCGTTTTGCAAAGCGGCGCTGATCATATCACCGCGCCCCCCCGACGTCCGGGCTCCACCGTCTTGGTTTTGCGGCCGCTCGCACACAACTCAGAAGCCGCCTCCCTGGATGCAGACGTCGTCCCTCGCCATTCCATCCCGCGGTGACCGCGGGGCAGTCAAGAGACGCGCGCCAGGAGCCGGGCTGAGGAGCGCGCGGACCAAGGCCACTCCCGACGCGCCGGACTCTGCCTAGGGCCTAATACCCAGTGTCTTCCTGCGGCAAGTTTTCACTCCTTCCTGGGAGCTCTCACCGCCGTGCGCTCGGGTCACCATAAGTGCACTTAAATCCCGGCCACCGGCCCCAAGTCCTCATCCTCCCCGCCAACTGTATTGCTTTGTGAGTAATCGGTGAATAAAGGGAAGAGCAGGCGAGAGAAGGAAATTGACCTTATTCTGGAGCAGAAAGGAGTGATGGGGGGAAAAAAACTCAGGAGAGAATATTAGCAGCTAACTTTTTTCGAACGTTCACTATAAGCTATCACTTATTTACCGTTATCCCCACTTGCAGATGAGGAAATTGATGCCTAATAGTTGTGGCGCCAGTATAGGAAACTCTTGGAAAGTGGGGCGAACGGACGGGGGAAGATTGAGAAGGACTCGGAGGGAGAGTTGGGTACCTGGATAGCTTGGAGGAGGGACGAAGGCGGTGCTCAGTGGCGGGAGCTTCGCCCTGCCGCCCCCTAGGCCCGGCAAAGATCCGCACTCATCCTCAGGCCTTTCTGCCCTGCTGAGCCGATTCTGAGTTCAGGGTTTCCCGCTCCCTTAGGTCCCTTGCAGAGGCATCTCATTTCTGAAACCCTTTTCAGTGCTTAGGCTACTTTCAATTCAGGGTAAATGGAGTCCACTTGTTCGTAACCTGCTCAGACTGTCCTCCGAGGGTCCAGGTTTTTTGTTTTTTATTTTTGTCCTTTCACCTTTTGCCCGAAAGCTCCGTGCTTGCACCAGCTTCCCTGCTCGTCCCTTCCTGTTGTTGCCACTGGGCATTTGGGTCGCCACTCAAGGACAGAGGTCAGGACCAGATCCTATGCCCTTGGGAAGTGTAACAAGGGAAATACCAGTGAAAACAAAGAGCAAAAACTGAAAAACCTTTTTATAATCAATTCTGATAATGTAGAGCGATCCCAGAGCCTTTCAGATCCCTGGAGCAAGGGGACATTTGGGGGACACGGATGAGAGAAAGCTATAGTTTTATTTTAAGAAGTGAGGATGGGAAAGTGTGATGAGGAGTAAAGGTGAGAAAATTTGGGGATCAATGAATTGCCCCTGCAGAGGTTCTCTCTGGGCAAAAAAAATCATTTTTAAAATTAGTAAACATTTTTAATCACGTTTCAGAAAATTTGGAAACCAGAAAAAGAAAAAAAACAGCTCTAACAAAACCAGTGTTATTACTCGAGTATTTCCTTCCAGCTTTCTCCAACTGCATATTTTCTAGCATAGTTTTTTTTATAAGACTTTACTGTTTTTATAAAAATTACGTACACTTATTAAAAATTCAGATAATACAGAAAGGGAAAGAACAAACCATGAATCACCCAAAACCCAGAATCTACAAATAATGAAGGTTGAAATATAGTGAACATAATTCCAGACATCTCTCTCTGAGTAGAAACTGGATAGAGATACAATGTCAGTACGGAATAAGAATGAGATCATACTGTACAAGTGACTTTTAAAATAAGTATGTGTGTGTGTATATATATAAAGATTTACTTCAAGAAATTGGCTCCCATGATTGTGGTGGGCTGGCCAAGTCCAAAATCTGTAGGTCAGTGAGAGGCTGGAGATCCTGCCGGCTTTCCTCCCAAAATCTGTAGGTCAGGAGGCTAGGAGATAAGTAAAGAGTGAGGTTGTTCTGGCATAATGTGTGTTTATAATTTAGAGACAGAATACACCCTAGGGAAACTCTTTTCGCTCTTAAGGTCTTCAACTGATTGATTGAAGCCTGCCCACGTTATGGAAGGTAATCTGCTTTACTTGAGACCAACTGATTTAATCACATGCAATTACTTTATAACAGCAACTAGTGTTTTTCCAAACAACTGGGCACCATAACCTAGCCAAGTTGACACATAAAATTAACCATCACAAAGCTTCAATGTAATTTTTACTTGAATGTAATATAAGAAGAAGAAAATGAAGTAAAATTTATTTCTAAAATATCTTTGAAGTTACATAAAGAAATTATTTAGAGGTTAGAGCCATTATGGGTTTTTAAAATTTGTTTCAGTTTGGGATGAGTTATTTGATCCCTTCTCTTTGCCCCTGTGGTTGGCTGAATAATGGTCTCCTAAAAGGTGTTCACCAGGAGCCCTGGTGGCACAGTGGTTAAGTGCTCAGCTACTAACGGAAAGGTCAGCAATTTGAACTTACCAGCTGCAACTCGGAGAGAGATGTGGCAGTCTACTTCCATAAAGTTTACAGCCTTGGAAACCTTATGGGGCAGTTCTACCCTGTCCTATAGGGTCACTGTTTTTGGTTTGGTAAAAGGTGTCGCCTCCTAGACTCAAGTCAGTGAATATTACTTTACATGACAAAAGGGACTCTACAAATGCAATTAAATTGAGGATCTTGAGATGGGGAGATTGTTGTTGTTGTTAGGTGCTGTTGGTGGCTCCGATCCATAGCGCCCCCATGTACTACAGAACGAAACACTGCTCGGTCCTGTGCCATCCTCATAATCATTGTTATGCTTGAGCCCATTGTTGCAGCCATGTGTCAGACCACCTCGTCGAGGGTGTTCCTCTTTTTCACTGTCCCTCTACTTTACCAAGCATGAAGTCCTTCTCCAGGGACTGATCCCTGCTGATAACATGTCTAAACTATGTAAGATGAAGTCTTGCCATCCTTGCTTCTAAGAGCATCCTAGTTGTACTTCTTCTGAGACAGATTTGTTCGTTCTTTTGGCAGTCCATGGTATATTCAATATTCTTCCCCAACACCATAATTCAAAGGCATCAATTCTTTTTCAGTCTTCCTTATTCATTGTCCAGCTTTCACATGCCTATGGGGCAATTGAAAACACCATGCTTGGGTCAGGAGCGCCTTAGTCCTCAAAGTGATATCTTTGCTTTTGAACACTTTAAAGAGGTCTTTTGCAGCTGATTTGCTCAATGCAATGTGTCTTTTGATTTCTTGACTGCTGCTTCCATGGCTGTTGATTGTGGATACAAGTAAAATGAAATCCTTGACAACTTCAATCTTTTCTCCATTTGTCATGATGTTACTTATTGGTCCGGTAGTGAACATTTTTGTTTTCTTAATGTTGAGGTGTAATCTATTCTGAAGGCTGTGGTCTTTGATCTTCATCAGTAAGTGCTTCAAGTCCTTTTCACTTTTGATAAGCAGGTTGTTAATGCATCTTCCTCCGATCTTGATGCCCCGTTCTTCTTGATAGAGTCTAGTTTCTCAGATGATTTGCTTATCAGAGGTCCTTATAAGAGGGAGGCAGGAGAGTCAGCCAGAGAAGGAGATGTGACAACTAGAGTGATGCAATTTCTGGCTGGAACAGGGTCAGGAGCCAAGGAACTCACACAGGCTGAACAAGCTGGAAAAGGCAAGGATGTAACCAGCCATGCTAACACCTTGATTTTATCCCTGTATGGCCCAATTTAAAGAGCTATAGGGTTGCTATGAGTTGGAATCAACTGGATGACAACGGGTTTGGCTTGGGTTTTGGTGGTACAGTAGTTAAAGCCTTTGGCTACTAACCAAAAGGTTGGTGGTTCAAATCTATCAGCCAATCCATGAGAGAAAGATGTGGCAGTCTACTTCCATAAAGATTATAGCCTTGGAAGCCCTATGGGGCAGTTCTACTCTGTCCTATAGGGTTTCTATGAGTTGGCATCAATTTGAAGGCAATGTCTTTGGTTGGATTTTTTAAGGCTTGATTTCAGACTTCTGATGCCCAGAACTGTAAGAGAATACATCTGTATTATTTTAGCTGCTAGGTTTGTGGTCATTTGTTATAGCAGCATTAGGAAACTAATACACTTGTAACTCACTGTTTCTGTTGTTCTTATTATGGTATTTTTACTTTGCCAGGGCTTGGGACATTTACATCTAACCATGGTCTTATATTTAAATGGATTCAGTGCTCACCACCAGCCTTTTACCATGCTTCTCCATCCCTGAGTTCTTGATTTCTACTAAACTCTTGGTTGACTGGATTTCCATTATCAAGTTGTTATTTTAAGATGTCCTCATATTCTGAGAATTGTTTCTTGTTTGAGTCTGACACTGTTGAGGTATAATGAATACTTAATATGGCCCTTCTAGCCATGATCTTGGTGACTCACAATGATTGAGTGGGACTATGTAAATAAGGCATATGGAACCTGTGATGGTTGGGGTTATATGTCAACTTGGCCAGGCCATGATTCTTAGTATTGTATGGTTGTCCTCCATTTTATGTGTTGTGGATCCTGACCTTTACATGTTGATGAGGCAGGATTGGTGTAGGGTGTGTCTTGAGTCGAAGCCTTGTAGGAGGGCGTGACTCAGTCCCACCCTTACTCAAGTTACACCCTTCCCTCCGGTGCAGCCTGCATCCAAGGTATATATGTGTGTGTCCTGGCGGGGCTCTCTCTCCCTGCATCTGGATCCCATGTCCGGTTCATGATTAGTTGACCGCCGGTTCTTGGGACTTGAACCAGAGGCATGTTGTCTGACCTGCTGATTCTGGGATTCTCCAGTCTCCACAGCCCTGTGGGCTGGCAGCCTATCGTCTGACCTGATTTGCCACTTTCCACAGCCTTGTGAGCCAGCATCTTGTGGTCTGAGCTGCCAGTTTGTGTTCATTAGCCCCTGAAGCCATGTGGGTCAAGAAAAGCCTACGCCTGACCCATAAATTTGGGACTTGCCAGCCTCCACAACCTCATGAGCCATTTCCTTTATATGATTAGTGAGTTCTGTGAGATGTTGCAGTGAATTAGGGAACCCAAAGATTGGAGGGAGAGTGCTGAGGGAAGAGGGAGTAGTTTATGTTAGAGATGATCGAGTGGTACAGAAGCTTGGAAAAGTTGCTTATTTGGGAAGTCTTTACCCTCCGTCTCATAGGAACCAGCTTTGTGCTGATCTTTATAAAAGAAATTATTCATTTACTGTGCCTTTGCTAGGGCTCATTCTGCCTGCCTGAGCTGTAGCTCACTCCTGGGTGCTTATATATTCTCTCAACTTAACATGGTGTCATGGAAAGGAAGAGACCTTTCCTACCTTTGCCAGACATCCACTCTCAAGGTTTTTTGTTGTTCGTTGTTGTTTATAATTTCCTGAGCCTGCTTTGCAACCCCTTTAAGTTGATTGTAATTGCTTTCTACTGTTCCATCAAGATAATATGTCATGATTTTCTTGATTATTCTTCCACTGTATGATAAATAAGTAGCATCCAATATTTCACTGATACAAATTCTGGTTTATTAATCCATCTGTACTTATACTTTTTCCATGTTTTGGATTATTTCCTTAGGGCATCCTCTCAGAACTGGCATGATCAGAGAGGATGAACACTTTTATGGCTCTCAATACAGTTCCATGGCAGGATTTAAAGGTAAGAACTTGAGGGGCCTGAGAATGAGTCTGGCTTGGCTGGTTAGCAAGTGAGATGTTTATTAGTGTGGAAGACACCCATGACTGGCTGTTAGAGAATTTTGACATCCTTCCTTCTATCTTTTATTCAATTTAAGGGATTTGTTGGCATCAAGGCTTTTGAGAATGGTAGTAACGTTAAAAGTATTTTTGAGAACAAGCTTTAACTTGGGGTGAGGTGCATGAGAGGGAGAAGATTAAAATCAGAGAAAGATTAGTCTATTAGGAGACAATTAGAATAACTCTAGAGTGATGTTATGGTGGATGCCTTGAAACTGTGAAGGCCTTTGAAAACACTTAGACTGAGAGATTAGCAGCTATTTTATAACTCATGATCTGACCCAATTTAGACTCAAACAGTACAGATATCTCCTTCCTCTGGCTTGGAATGATCACTTCTTAGAAATAAGAATACAATTTAAGTGCCAACATGGCACTATAAACAGAAACACCATGCCATCCATCCACAGCAAAGACCTGAAAAACTAAGTGAAACAGAGATAAACATGAGTGCTGGAACCCTAAGCATCAAATGAAGAAATAAAGAACTCAGCCAAGCATCAAATGGAATAAGAAACTGACAGAGAACAGAGAGTGAGGAGAGATAACATGCAGAGGTCCCATATCAGCTAATGCAGCATAGATTCACTATCTTGGACTTCTGTCGGAAATTGGCACACAGGGAGTACGGGAAAGCCTTAATATCATGAAAGATGAAAAGCTGACCATCCAAGAAGCTCAACAAACCCCATACAGGAGAGACCCCAAAAGAAAATCACCAAAGCATATGATAATCACACTTGCTAAAACCAAAGACAAAGAATCATGACAGCAGTTTGAGCAAAATGAAAAGTCACATACAGAGGAGAAACAATAAGAAAAGCTATGATTATTTGACAGAAACCATGCAGGCAAGAAGGCAATGGGATGACATATATAAAACCTTGAAAGAAAAAAAATTACCAACCAAGAATAATGTGTCTTGCAAAACTCTCATTTAAATATGACATTAAATGTCCATTAAATAGGACATTTCTAGATAAACAGAAATTAAGAGAATATATAAAAACCAAACCAAATTTACAAGAAGGGAGTCCTTTGGTCTGAGAACAAACAACATCAGACTACAGCCTGAACCTAGGACACAAGATTGTACCAGCCAGATACTGACCTAGGGAAATGAACTCTCAAGGACTATCCAAAACCGAAAGAATTCCACACGGAACCAGAGAGGTTAATCTGTAAATGACAACAACATTCTAACAATAAAAGAGGAAATGAACAGTGTAAGTATAGAACTTTCTAATGGAGAGGAAGGCAAGGCAATACTAAGTAATAATAGACTGGTTCAAACCTAGGAAGATAAGGGTAAATTTCAAGGTAAACACAAAAAAAGTTAACAAACCTACTCATCAAAATAAAGAAGAAAAACATAAAGTCTCAGTAAAAACAAAATCTACAAAACCAAAAGAAATGAAAAAAAAAAAATCCACAAATGAATTCAGCACATGAGAGTAAGAGGAACAAAGAAAATGTCAGCACCACACACACACACAAAAAAAAGCACTACAAAATGACAGCAGTAAACTCACACATAACAATAATTACACTGAATGTAAATGGCCTAAAAGCACCCATAAAGAGACAGACAGTGACAGTATGGATAAAAAAACATGATCCATCAATATGCTGTCTAAAAGAGACACACCTTAGAAACAAAGACATAAATTTATTAAAAATCAAAGAATGGAAAAAAATATATCAAGCCAACAGCTACCAAAAAAGAGCAGGAGTGGCAATATTAATCTCAGATAAAATAGACTTTAAAACAAAATCTACCATGAAAGACAAAGAAGGGCACTATATAATGATTAAGGGGACGATCCATCATGAAGACATAACCATAATAAACATCTACGCACCCAATGACAGGGCTCCAAAATACATAAGACAAACTCTAACAACACTGAAAAGAGAAATTGACAGTTCCACAATAATAGTAGGAGACTTCAACACATCACTCTTGGTGAACATCTAGAAAGAAACTCAATAAAGATACAGAAGAGCTAAAGGACACAATCAGCCAACTTGACCTCATAGATGTATATAAAACACTCCACCCAACAGCTGCACAGTACGCTTTTCTTTTCCAACACACATGGAACATTCTCCAGAACAGACCACATCTTAGGCCACAGAGCAACCCTCAACAAAATCCAAAACACTGAGATAATAGAAAGTATCTGACTGCAGTGCCATCAAGGTAGAAATTAACAACAGGAAGAGCAAGGAAAAAAAATCAATTACATGGAGACTGAATAACACCCTGCTTAAAAACCATTGGGTAATAGAAGAAATCAGACATGGGATTAAAAAATTCCTAGAGTCAAATGAGAATGAAAACACATCATACCAAAACCTTTGGGACACAGCGAAGGGAGTCCTCAGAGGACAATTTATAGCAATAGATGCAGACATCAAAAAAGAAGAAAAGGACAAATTAAAAATATTAGCTACACAACTTGAATAGAAAGAGAACAGCAAAAAAAGCCCACAGCCACCAGAAGAAAGGAGATAATAAAAATTAGAGCAGAAATAAATGAAATGGAGAACCGAAAAACAATAGAAAGAATCAACAAAACCAAAAGTTGGTTCTTGGAAAGGATCGACAAACCACTGGCCAAACTGACAAAAGAAAAAACAGGAGAGGACGCAAATAACCCAAATAAGAAATGAAATGGGGGACATTACAACAGACCCAACTGAAATAAAAAGGATCATAACAGAGTATTATGAAAAACTATACTCCCACAAATTTGAAAACCTAGAGGAAATGGATAAATTTCCAGAAACGCACTACCTACCCAAACTAACACAAAGTGATGTTGAAAATCTGAACAGACCCATAACAAGAGAAGAGATTGAAAAGGTAATTAAAAAAAAAAACAAAACTTCCAACAAAAAAATCCATAGCCCAGATGGCTCCACTGGAGAGTTCTGCAAAACGTTCAGAAAAGAGCTTACACCAGTACTACTCAAACTATTTCAGAACACAGAAAAGGAAGTGACACTTCCAAATTCATTGTGTGACACCAGCATAACCCTGATACCAAAACCAGGCAAAGACACCACAAAAAAGGAAAATTACAGACCAGTATCTCTCATGAATATAGATGCAAAAATTCTCAACAAAATTCTAGTCAATAGAATTCAGCATCATATCAAAAAAATAATACACCACGACCAAGTGGGACACGTACCAGGTATGCAAGGATGGTAGCAACATTAGAAAATCAATCTACGTGATCTATCACATAAATAAAAGGAAAGAAAATAATCACATGATCATCTCAATTGATGCAGAGAAGGCATTCGACAAATTCCAACACCCACTCCTGATAAAAACTCTCAATAAAATAAGTATAGAAGGAATATTTCTCAGCATAATAAAGGGCATCTATGCAAAACCAATGGACAACAACATTCTTGATGGAGAGAGGCTGAAAACATTCCCCTTGAGAACAGGAACAAGACAAGGATGCCCTTTATCACCACACTTACTTAACATTGTGCTGGAATTCCTAGCTAGAGCAATAAGGCAAGAAGAAGAAATAAAGGGTATCCAAATCAGTAATGAAGAAGTTAAACTGTCCCTATTTGCGGGTGATATGATACTATACATAGAAAACCCAGAAGACTTCACGAGAAAACTACTGGAACTAACAGAAAGACTCAGCAGAGTAGCAGGATACAAGGTAAACATACGAAAATCAGTTGGATTCCTATACACAAAGACAATGATGAAAAAGGAATCAGGAGAACAATACCATTTATAATAAATCCTAAAAAAGTAAAATACTTAGGAATACATCTAACCAGGGATGTAAAAGACCTCTACAAAGAAAACTACAAAACACTATTGCAAGAAACTAAAAGAGATCTACATAAATGGAAAAACATACCATGCTCACAGATAGCTAGACTCAACATTGTGAAAATGACAATTCTACCCAAAGCAATATACAAATACAGTGCAATCCCAATCCAAATACCAATGACATTCTTTAAAGAGATGGAAAAACTAATCATTAACTTTATATGGAAAAGGAAGAATCCCCGGTTAAGTAAAGCACAATTGAATAAGAAGAATAAAGCAGGAGGACTCGTACTACCTGATCTCAGAACCTACTATACAGCTGCGGTAGTCAAAACAGCCTGGTACTGCTACAATAACAGGTATATTGACCAATGGAACAGAATTGAGAAGCCAAGTGTAAATCCATCCACCTATATTCGCCTGATCTTCAACAAGGGCCCAAAGTCCATCAAATGGGGAACAGACAGTCTTTTTAACAAATGTGCTGGCAAAACTGAATGTCCATCTGCAAAAAAATGAAACAGGACCCATACCTCACACCATATACAAAAACTAATTTCAAAATGGATCAAAGACCTAAATATAAAGTCAAAACCTATAAAGTTCATAGAAGAAAAAATAGGACCAACGCTACAGGCCTTAATACACGGCATTAACAGGATACAAACCATAACCATTAACACACAAACTCCAGAAGATAAGCTAGATAACTGGAATCTTCTAAAATTCAAACACCTATGCTCTTCAAAAGACTTCACCAAAAGAGTAAAAAGAGAACCTACAGACTGGAAAAAATTTTTGGACAGTACAAGTAGACAAAGTTCTAATCTTATGTACAAGAAAACCCAACACCTGTACAACAAAAAGACAAATAATCCTATTAAAAAATGGGCAAAGGAAATGAACAGACGCTTCACCAAGGAAGACATTCAAGTGGCCAACAGACACATGAGGAAATGCTCAAGATCACTAGCCAGTAGAGAAATGCAAATCAACACCACAGTGAGATCCCATTTCACCCTGGCATTACTGGCACGAATCAAAATAACAGGAAATCACAAATGTTGGAGAGGCTACAGGGAGATGGGAAGTCTTATGCACTGCTGGTGGGAATGCAAAATGATACAACCATTTTGGAAAAGGATGTGGTGTTTCCTTAGAAAGCTAGAAATAGATTTACCATATGATCCAGCAATCCCACTTCTAGGAATATATTCTAGAGAAATAACAGTCATCACACGAATAGACATATGCACACCCATGTTCATTGCAGCATTGTTCACAATAGCAAAAAGATGGAAACAACCTAGATGCCCGTCAACAGATGAATGGATAAACCAACTATGGTACATACACATAATGGAGTATTACGCAACAGTAAAGAACAATGATGAATCTGCAAAACATCTCATAACATGGATGAATCTGGAGGGCGTTATTCTGAGTGAAATAAGTCGATCACAAAGGACAAATATTTTATGAGACCACTACTTGAAAAACTCATGAAAATGTTTACACACAAAAACAAACAATCTTTTATGGTTACAAGGGAGGGGAGGGATGGGGATGGAAAAACACTATATAGACAATAGATAAGTGGTAACTTTGGTGAAGGATAAGACAGTACGCAATACTGAGGAAGCCAGCACAACTTGTACAAAGCAAGGTCATGGGAGCTCCATAGACACATCCAAACTCCTGAATTGCTGGGCTGAGGGCTGTGGGGACCATGGTATCGGGGAACATCTAGTTCAGTTGGCATAAGATACTTTATAAAGAAAATAGTCTACATTCTACTTTGGTTAGTAGCATCTGGGGTCTTAAAAGCCTGTGAGCGGCCATCTAAGATACTCCACTGGTCTCACCCCTTCGGGAGCAAGGCTGAATGAAGAAAACTAAAGACACAAGAGAAAGATTAGTCCAAAGGACTAATGGACCACATCTACCATGGCCTCCACCAGACTGAGTCCAGTACAACTAGATGGTGCCTGGCTACTACCACCAAGAATCACAACAGAGGGTCCTGGACAGAGCTGGAGAAAAATGTAGAACAAAATTCTAACTCACAAAAAAAGACCAAACTTACTGGGCTGACAGAGACTGGAGAAACACCAAGAGTATGGCCCCTGGACACTCTTTTAGCTCAATAATGAAGTCACTCCCGAGGTTCACCCTTCAGCCAAACATTAGACAGGCCCATAAAACAAAACAAGACTAAAGGGGGATAACAGCCAATGGACAAGGACTAGAAGGCAGGAGGGGAGAAGAAAGCTTGTAATAGGGAACCCAAAGTCGAGAAGGGAGAGTGTTGACATGTTGTGGGGTTGTTAACCAATGTCAGAAAACAATATGTGTACTAACTCTTTAATGAGAAACTAGTTTGTTTTGTAAACCTTAATCTAAAGTACAACAAAAAAATAAAAATACAATGTAATTACATGGGTCAGCCATTCAAAGGAATTTCCTTTCCCACTTGGCACACAGGACTGGCCTCATGATGATGTACTGAGTGAGCCTTGATTGTTGCTTGTGGGATTATGCACTGATTAACTCACAGGTCCCTGCAGTTGTCGTGTTGGGTAAGTTTGCTTCGCTTACTGAAAGCCTTGCCCTATTCAAACAGAAATTTGGATCTAATTGAAAATTTGTCTTTTCCAGACTCGAATAACCTTCAATTTTCCAGTTGCCATCGAGTGTACTCTGACTCATGGTGACCCTATGTGCATCAGAGTAGAACTGTGCTCCACAGGGTTTTCAATGGCTTATTTTTCAGAAGTAGATTGCCAGACCTTTCTTTCTAGGCACCTATGGATGCACTCTTCCAGCCTCGTGGTTAGCAGCCGAGTATGTTAGTTGTTTGCAGTACCCAGGGCTGATCCTAAAATAGCTTCAGCTATTTTTTACTAAAAACATTTTTCTGGTTTTCCTCAATGATCTTTTTCCTGAAGTTTATCTTGCATCTCTCTCTAAAGTTTAGAATCCCTTCACTGAATCACCATTAATGAGATCTTAGAGCTGCCTCAGCCATTGCATTTCTCATTCCAAAGTTTTCACTTGTTTGAAGTGTTGAGAGTGCATGAAATCATAGAAGTGATATGAATCTATGATGTAGATTCTGAAAAGAACTAGTTTTCACTAGAACACTTTCACTTCCACTGGAGAATCTTACTATCCTTATTTTTTATACATAACTAATCTTGTCTTGAATGTTATTGTGTTAAGAGGGCAAAAGTGTGTAGTTTTCATGATCAGAATTATCATTTTTTATGAAGACATGCTCATGATAGTTTGTTACAAAGAAGGATGCAAAATTGGATATAGTAAGATCCCAATTTTGTAACAACTAAGAATTAAAACAAAACATATATACATGCTTAAGAAACTAGCAGAATATCTATAAAATATTAACACTGGTTATCTCTGGAAAATGGAATTATGATATGAATAAAATTTATTTACTTCTTAAATTTTTCCCCTCAAATTTTTTTCCATTTTTTTAATTTTTGTAATTAAATGAAGTTTATATTTCAAGTTCATCTCCCCTACAAAAATTTTTTTTTTATTGTACTTCAGGTGAAGGCTTACAGAACAAATAGTTTCTCACGAAACAGTAGTACACATATTGTTTTATGACGTTGGTTAACAACCCCACAACATGTCAACCCTCTAACTTCTCAACCTTTTCCTTTGGTGAAAATACACATAGCCAAAGATACACCATTTCAAAAATTTCTACATGCGCAGTTCAGTGACACTGACTGCACTCTTCCAATTGTGCTGTTATTCTCACTTAAGGTGAAGGCTTACAGAACAAAATAGTTTCTCATTTAACAGTTACTACAAACGTTGCCCAATGACAATGATTAACAATCTCACAACACATCAACAATATCCTTACTCAACCTTGGGTTCCCTATCACCAGCTTCCTTGTCCCCTTCTGCCTTCTGGCCCTTGTCACTGGACTGCTGTACCTCGTTAGTCTCATTTGGTTTTACGGGGCTGTCCACTCCCAGGCTGAACGGTGAACCTCAGAGATAACTTCACCACTGAGCTATAAGGGTGTCTGGGGGCCATACTCTTGAGGTTTCTCCAGTCTCCTTTAGGCCAGTAAATCTGGTCTTTTTTTTTTGTGAGTTAGAATTATGCTCTACATCCTTCTCCAGCTCTGTCCAGAACCCTGTGTTGTGATCCTGGTCAGAACAGTCAGTGGTGGTAGCCGGGTACCATCTAGCTGTACTGGACTCATTCCGGTGGAGGCCTTGGTAGCTGTAGTTAGTCCTTCGGACTAATCTTTTCCTTGTATCCTGTTCTCTTCATTCTCCCTCGCTCCCGAAGGGATGAGACCAGTGGAGTATCTTAGATGGCCGCTCACAGGCTTTTAAGACCCCAGACACTACTCACTAAGGTAGAATGTAGAGCATTGTCTTTATAAGCTGTGTTATGCCAATTGAGCTAGATGTTCCCCGAGACCGTGGTCCCCACAGCCCTCCGCCCGGCAATTCAGCCCCTCAGCGAGTTTGGATGTGTCCGTGGGGCTTCCATGACCTTTCCTTGTACAAGTTGTGCTGGCTTTTTTTTTTTTTTACATACATTGTTATGAGACCCCATCTGCTCACCCCATTCTGCAACAGCACACTCCTCCCCTCTGCCCCTGATTCCCTATGAAAATTCAACCAGCTCCTAACTCTATGCCTTCCCATCTCACCTCTGGACAGAAGCTGCCACTTTGGTCTCTTGACTAAGAGGCACATTCTTCACGAGTATCACTTTATGGCCCACAGTCCAGTCCAATCCCTGTCTGAAGAGTTGGCCTTGGAAATTGTTTTAGTTCTGGGCTGATAGAGAATCCAGGGGCCATGCTTCCTGGGGCGCCTCCAGTCTCAGTCAGACCATTAAGTCTGGTCTTCTTACTAGAATTTGAGTTCTGTATCCTATTCTTCTGCTGCTCCATCAGGGACCCTCTGTTGTGTTCCCTGTCAGGACGTTCATTGGTGGTAGCTGGGCACCATCTAGTTCTTCTGGTCTCAGGCTGATGAAGTCTCTGGTTTATGTGGCCCATTCTGCCTCTTGGGCTAATACTTTCCTTGTGTCTTTGGTGTTTGTTCTCCTTTACTCCAAGTGGTTGGGACCAATTGATGCATCTTAGATGGTCGCTTGCAAGCTTTTAAGACCCCAGATGCCACTCACCAAAGTACAATGCAGAACATATTCTTAATAAGCTTTGTTATGCCAGTTGACCTAGATGTCTCCTGAAAGCGTGGTCTCCAGACCCCCCATCCCTGCTACTCTCTCTTTCAAAGTATTTGATTGTGTTGTCCCCTCAAATTTTTAAAAAACAAATATTTAATGCTTTCATAATGAGAAAAAATAAGACTAACATTTTTAAATCACAGAGAAAACAGGATTCTGAAAGGTATGTTTCCTTGTGCTTGGTAGAGCAAAAAGATACAGAATCAGAGGCAAAGCAAAGCAGGCCCTTTTGTGCTTTCCCATTGCATCTGCTTTCTGAGGTTGTCAACAAGACCATTAACTATCATTCCTGAGAGGCCAGATGCAGCCATGAAGGGGGATGTGCAATGGCACTATCCAGCACCTGTGGGTCCCTTAGATAGTCAAGCAGTAGCGACACTGGTGCTGGAGTTCCTACTGCTTGAAGATGTCATTATCTTTCTTAGACGGGAGTATTTGCACCTTGGTAATACCCATTTTTTGAGTACCAACCACATAATCATTCTAGACTCTTATTTCTGAATGCTGGTTGAAGTGCAGTTCAGTTCACTCATTCCTTAAAATGGTAGCAGTTGATAAGGTTGATAACTGACCTTACAAGTTTTCCCAAATTTGAGTAATTTTCTCAAATTTCTATGTAAAACTGTGTCATAAAGTAAGAGTCACTACTTAACAGGAGTTCCTGGGGGGAATATCCTAGGCTGTCTCAACCTCCTCCTTCTACATCCTGTTTCCCTCATGGCATCTCCCTGGCTCTCCAAACCAGGGTGTCCCAGCTTCCCTGGAGAAGCAGCCCCATAATTTTTCAAGATTAGGAGGAGTAAGAAGTTCCTTTGCTCTTGTTTTTGAGGTGGGTGGTTTTACCCTTTGGCTCTGTTTTCACTGTGAGGCATATAGCACATTTGTTATGTCCTTCTCCTCTGAGGAGTCTCAAACAAACAGTTTCCTGCCCCATCCAATCACAGTGGGTCCTCTCTCGAATTCTCACAGTTCTCTTTGAATTTGAGGGCAGAACTGGAATAATGGTCCCTTCTAATCATCCACTTCTTGTCAGGATGGTCACTGGACTCAATATGAGCCTGGGTTACTGTGAGCATGATTGGGAAGGTGTAAAAGTTTGTCTTTGGTGTACTTTGCTCTTGTTTCTCATCCTCCCCTGGGAAGGGTCCAAAGAACCAACTCACACGAAAGTGTGAATGACAAACCAAACCTAAACCAAGCCCACTGCCATCGAGTTGATTCCGCCTCATAGTAATCCTATAGGACAGAATAGATTTGCCACATTGGGTTTCCAAGGCTGTAATCTTTACAGAAGCAAACTGCCACATCTTTCTCCTGTGGAGCAGCTGGTGGGTTGGAACTGCCCTCATTTCAGTTAGCAGCCAAGCGCTTAACCACTGGGGCACCAGGGCTCCTACGTGAATGATAAAAGAGGCTTAAAATGTTACCTCTCCCAGCAGTATTTGCATTTTGACTTGGGAAGGAAGACTGAAGGTAGTGGAATCAGTTGCTAATTATGACATTTCAGGCATCTGTTATCAGATAAGGAAGGTGTTGGGCAGCAATGACTATATTCCAACTCGGAAATCAAGTGAATCATACATTATTTAATAAATATTTATTGAGCACCTACCATGTTTGAGGCTCCATGCACAGTGAAGAATGATATAGACACTGACCTCATGGAACTACAGGTTAGCTCTGGACACAGCAATATGTTATTACATAAAGTAATGAGACTGATTTTCTTTGGTGGCGTATGAAAACTAATTCCGTTTTATTTGAGTTAGCACTTGAATTTTGCTTGATGCTTATCTAGCCACATGATCATATATCATATAGAGACATTCTGTTCATACTATTTTATCTCGTCTAGAGAGCACAAAATTGACTAGAACTAGTTGGGGGTCAAACAAAATTTAATTTGAAGGGAACAGTTCTGACTTAGTTATCTAGTGCTGTTATAACAGAAATACCACAAATGGATGGCTTTAACGCATAGAAATTTATTCTCTTACAGCCTAGTAGGCTAGAAGCCTGAATTCAGGGCGCCAACTCCAGGGAAAGGCTTTCTGTCTCTGTTGGCTTTGTGGGAAGGTCCTTGTGATCTATCTTCCCCTGGTCTAGAAGCTTCTCAGCACAGGGACCTGGGTCCAAAGGATGCGTGCCCTTCCTGGTTCTTCATTCTTTGTGGCATGAGGTCCTCTTGTGTCTCTGCTCACCTTTGTCTTTTATATGTCAAAAGACATTGACTCAAGATACAACCTAATCTTGTAGATTGAGTCCTGCCTCATTAACATAACTGCCTCTAATCCTGCCTCATCAACATCATATAGGATTTACAACACCTAGGAAAATCACATCAGATGACAAAATGGTAGACACAGTACTGGAAATCATGGCCTAGCCAAGTTGACACACATTTTTGAGGGACGCAATTCAATCCATACCACAATGAAATAGTAGTTTGATGTTTCAAGTATTGCCTGGTTGGGGACATGTGTTGCTTTTTCCCTGCTCAGCCATCACTTTTTTTGGTAAAATACCCTGATTTCACTTTGAGGAACCACCTTGCTCCCATTCATTAGGGTTGGGGTTATATCTAAGGCTAGGTTTAGAATTAGAGTTAGGGCTAGGGTCAGGGTTAGGATTAGGGTTAGATCTAGAGTTAGGGTTAGGGATAGGTCTATGGTCAAGGTTAGGGTTAGATTTAGTTTTAGGTCTAGGATTACGGCTAGGGTTAGATCTAGGGTTAGGGTTAGTGTTAGGATCAGGGGTTTGCAGTTATGGGTAATATTAGGGTTAGGGTTAGATCTAGAGTTATTGTTAGGGTTAGTGTTTTGATTAGGATTACATCTAGGATTAAGTTTAGCTTTAGGGTTTGGATTAGTGTTATGGTTAGATCTAAGATTAGGCTTAGGTTTCTCGTTAGGGTTAGATCTAGAAATAGAGTTAAGATTATGGTTAGATCTGGGATTAGGGTTAGAGATAAGGGTTAAGGTTTTAATTAGAGTTATATCTAGGATTAGAGTTAGGTTTAGATTTAGTGTTAGTCCAGGTTTAAGGTAAGGGTCAGTGTTAGATCCAGGGTTACCATCAGGGTTAGGGTTTGGGTTTTGTGGTTATAGTTAGGGTTAGGGGTTACGGTTAGGGTTAATGTTTTTGTTAGATCTAGTGTTAGTGTTGGTGTTAGATCTAGGGTTAAGTTTAGCTTTAGATTTATGGCAAGGTTAAGTTTCAGGTTAGGTTAGATATCGGGTCAGGATTGGGTTCAGATTTAGCTCCACGGTTAGGTTACAGTTAACTTTAGGGCTAAGATTAGGGACAGAGTC